CCCTCCCTCCCTCCCTCCCGCCTGCCGTGGCAGAGCTGTTAATCACATAATCACAGGGTATTTCTCCACGGGACCTTGGCCTCGCCCAAGCAGAGCAGGACACAGGGTGCTCCCCCAGGAGCAACTCCTCACCATTCCACCTTCTCCGCACTGTTCGAGGGGCGGCCCCGAGCCTGGCTGACCAGGTACCTGCCGTACTCTGCTCTGCAGACAGAATTAGTAATTTACTCATGGGCTTTCCTACAGGACGCATCACTGACTGAATGTGTCACAAACATAAAGGAATGTATTTTCACAACGCCCTCATAAAGTAAGACACGGTATTATCCATATGTCATAGGCAGGGAACTGAGGCATAGAAAGATTAACGATAAAAGCTTCCACTGATTTAAAACGTCTAATTGAAACTCTTAGGTCCAAATCCTTCAGAGATTTGTTTTGTCTGCTGAAGTTGTGGTGACAATCGTTTTTTTCGAGGCTGAAAACTTGGCCACCTTTGGGCTGATGTTCTTGTAGACAGCAGAAATGGTGCCTCAGACAGATATACCGTGCAAATGTTATCGGGCTGTTAAGGTGGGGGCTTGCTTTCCCATTTCTTTGTATATTTGTTATATTTAACATCCATTAAAAAATTCAACAGAAGTATAGAAGAGCTTTCTAAATATACATTCCGAGGCAGGTAGCTGGAAGAGAAAATTTTTGCCCAGAGAATGTAAGTTTTGTAAAGTTGTGAACAAGCAAAAAAGAGGGTCCTAAAATGGGTAAGTTGTTGAATGGCCTCAACGGCAGGTCATTGCTACGACATATACTCTTCTTCCTCTTGGATTATATTATCCAGCTGTTGAAGAAACCACATGGGCCAGACATTACACTAACAGAGTCAAGTCAAACTTAAATGCAAACTGTAACTAAAGCTTTATTTCATATCCTGATTCAGTTCAGATAAACAAGATTAATTTATTTTTAATCTCAAAGCACAACGAAGTCTTGTTACTCAATTCCAAACAGCAACTTTTGTGCAGAGCATAAGCCCCACCTTTCCTCCTGTTCTCTCAGAACGAGAAAGCAAGGGAAGTGTCAGGCACTGGAGGCAGCCCTGGTGGTAAGGTGGATATAGGACAGGCAGATGGACAGTCCTGAGATGTAGCGAATCTTACACTGGTATGAACTGATCCTTCCCCTGATTATTGCAGGGAGATTCGCCGAATCCTGTAAAAAGGCCCATCTGAAAATTGCAGGCAGTGATTTATCTGTGTTAACACACCAGGAAAGAAAGACAGACAGGCAGACAGACAAAAAGACAGATTGGGGTGAGGGGGGGAATCAATCAACCAGTCGCTGGTGCCAGCCTTCTTCAGAGCAATAAAGTACTTTTAGAGACATTTTTGTAGAAGCGTAAAATCCAGCCTTGCAACCGTCCACCAAGCGCACGCAGGCCGGGAGTGGGGGGGAAGAGAGACAATGTGGGAGCTGGCAGGAGAACTGGCTCCCCCCTCACCTCGTGAACATGCAAGGACAGCCCTGGGATAACCCCCAGTGATTCCTCTTTTCCACCCAACTGTATTCCTGGCAAACGACGTTATAAACCATCCCTCCCCTGGACACATACCACAGGCACACAGAGGTGAACACAGACCCAGTTTCTCTGTCCTGCACTGAAAACTCCTGCCACATATCCCTGCTTTTCAGCTAGCGCTGTCTCCTGACTGCACTAACATTGACTAATTTAGTATTTTTAATTACAGAGGGATTTACAGCACTCCACTACAGTGCTCTCTTTTATTATACCCACTGTTTCTTCTGGATCTGGGTACACTCTACATACAAAGTTGCACATTAGACAAATTACACTGCACATTAAGTAAATCTCTCTCTAGAAACAGGATTAGATGAAGAGGCAAATCTTCCTAATTCCTAGTGTATAAATTAATATCTCCAAAATCAATGTGAAGTAAGAGCGCCACATCAATTTCGGGGGGGGGGGGGAAGTTTAAACATTCTCCACAATGAATCAAATTTATGTAGGAGATGCATTCTTTTTCTCATTTTTTGCTTAATAAATAAAACAGCTGGTCCGAGGAATCAGGTCAATCAGTGTCTGGAAAAAGCCCCATTAAAGCTGCTATATAACCTAGTTTCTCAAGCTGCATAAGGCATCCTGATATTGGAGAGGCAGCCTGGATGGCTCAGCTCCTGGCCCTTCAGGGTTACAGAGGATATTTATCACAAAATATAGCAGCAAGCGGGGTATCCTGCAAACATCCAGGGAGCTAGGCTCTGAAGGAGCACGACGAAGACAACATGAGGCATCCGGAGCCATATATTAAATACGGCTAGTGAACTTGGGCGTCTAAGTTGAGGTCATCCAACACGTGGAGACGGTAAAGGACCGGCTTTTCACATATGCTCAGACCCTCCCAGCCAGCCTGGCCCTGCTGCCACGGTGGGTGACAGCACCCCTTCTCACGGCACTCCGCGCCCGCGTGGTACCATCCCTCCCGTGCCACGTGAGAGGGTGGATCCAGCAGTGCCCAAAGCCATGGGCATGCTGCACGGCCACAGAGTCTATTGCCGTGCAGGCAGAAACCTCCCCAGAATCAGCCTTCCTCCTCCTGGACAGCACGACTGCTGTCGTGATGCTCGGGCCCCGGCCACCTTGGAAAATGCAGCCCTTCCTTTCTTCTACAGGTTTGAAAATGTTTTGCGGAGGGTATCACAATCCACAGCCTATAGAGTCAAAGACGGAGCCAGAAGAAAGTAAAGTGACTTCCTCGAGCTTCAAGAGCAAGGCAAAAGCAGAACTGGGAAATGAAACTTCCTGACCCACAACCCCAGGTTTTAGCTTCTTAAACAAGGATTCTCTTTCCTCATTAAAAAACTAAAAATGGGAAGAGGGGGAGGAATATTCTGTAGACACAGTGAACTTGGCCCTCAGAGGGCTAATGACCTGATATACTTTTTTTTTCCTTCTCACCTCCATTTCCCCTGATAAAGTTACTGTAACTTCAAAGACTATCCTTCTTTACTAGTCTACTTTAACCTAGTGTGTCAGCTCAACATCCTTTCCCCAACCATCTGAAGCCAGAGACCATCCTTCCCGGAGAGGAGATTACCTTCTCGCTTTCAGTCTCCCTGATGTCCTCAGAACACCCCGGCCTGAGACCACTCCACGTTCTGGATTGTGCTGAGGGACACCAAAGCCCGATCCGCTGCTTCCAGCCTGCAGTACGTGGCAGCCTGAAAGGGTACCCTGGAGGTAAAACCTGGTTGTTCTCTATTAATTTTTCATTTCAAGAATGGCTCCAGGGAAAGGAAGGAGATATAGGTCAGAGACTTTGGGGGCTGATTAGTAACTCTGCACATCTTCCTTTTTTTTTTTTTTTTTTTTTTTTTCTCTCTCTCTTTTTTTTTTTCCCCTTCCAAATTCAGAAACAGAGGGTTTCCCCTCTTATTTCTCACTTACTCCTCGAACACCATTGGCATTAGTCAGCAAACTCCTGCTTTTTCCTCCGCGAGCCCCTGACACTCGCAGGGTGACTAACCCTTCTCTCCACACACTTCGGCTCCAAAAGTTGCATCTGTTTTTTGTTTTTTTTTTTTTTTCGCCAGGAAAAACGGGTCTCCGCATCGCACACGGCCAGCACTCCCCCGCGGTTTCTGCCCCCACGCTCCTGCAGCCACCACGACTTCTTACGCACAGGGCTGAAGGGCCAGGAGGGGCTGGCAGGGCCAGCGTTCAGGTCACTTCTCAACTCACCATCGCAGCAGCAGCAGCGTCCCTCACCCCGGGAGGCGGTTAGCTACCACCCCAAGCACGGGCACGGAGGAAGCCTGAAGCAACCCGACTTCTCTTCGCGCCCCTGCCAGCAACCTGCTCTGTCGGGTCACACAGCCTCCAGGTGCCTGTATTAATTAGCTTTTCCCTCCCGGACCGGGAGCCCCGGCCCTTGCCGAGGCGCCCGGCGCGGTGTGCGGAAGGTCCCAGCTGGGCTTCTGAGGCACGGCTGCAGGGCGAGTGAAAACACGGCTTCTGGTGACTCAAGGCCGCCTCATCAGAGCATGACAGAAGGCTCCTCCTGGCCAGGTGGGCTTGCACAAGCTGTCCACCCACAGCCACGCTCGCAGGGGACCCCCACACGCACCTCACGCTCGCGTGGGCGGACCCACAGACCTGCCCACACTTGGCTCTCGGCGCCGCGCTCGAGCAGACGGCGAGTTTGTCGCCTTCACCTCTCCAAAGCAATGCCAAGAGCACACGGACCGCTGTCCTGTCCCCTTCACCCACGACCGCCGTCCCCTTCACCCACGACCGCCGTCCCCTTCACCCACGACCGCCGTCCCCTTCACCCACGACCGTCGTCCCCTTCACCCACGACCGCCGTCCCCTTCGCCCACGACCGCCGTCCCCTTCACCCACGACCACCGTCCCCTTCACCCACGACCACCGTCCCCTTCACCCACGACCGCTGTCCCCTTCACCCACGACCACCGTCCCCTTCACCCACGACCGCCGTCCCCTTCACCCACGACCGCTGTCCCCTTCACCCACGACCGCCGTCCCCTTCACCCACGACTGCTGTCCCCTTCACCCACGACCGCCGTCCCCTTCACCCACGACCGCCGTCCCCTTCACCCACGACCGCTGTCCCCTTCACCCACGACCGCCGTCCCCTTCGCCCACGACCGCTGTCCCCTTCACCCACGACCACCATCCCCTTCACCCACGACCGCCGTCCCCTTCACCCACGACCGCCGTCCCCTTCGCCCACCGTGCAAGGAGGACGCACCTTGCCCCCGGGGCCAGACACCAGAGGCCATGCCCTCAGGCTACAGGAGGTGCTACCTGCTGCCGCCCGTAAGGGAACAACCCACCTCCAGAGCGGAGCACGTCAGCGAGGATCGGTGGGAAGGCTTTGCCAACTTGGTGCCGGAGATGCCCCTTCCCCGTTTAACCTCGTCACCCTCCCCCCCGGCACCAGCCCCACTCCCCCTGCAGATACCTCCATCCCCATTGCAGGAGAGCCTTCTGCATCGCCGTGGAGGGAGGCATGAAAATAAACCACCGGCTCCAGTGCCACACTCCCTCCTGGCAGATCTGTTTCTCTCTTCTTAACTGTTTCCAAGTGCCTGGCTGTTTTATAATCCCCACTGAGCATTCCCTTAACTCCTTCCTCCCTGAGCCCTTCCACCCTCCCTCGCCCGCTCTCTCTTAAAAGGCAGAAAAAGCCAAGGCGAGGTAGGGGGTATGGAAAGCGAAGGAGGGGGCCTGAATCAAAGGAGGAACAACTGAATCAAATTGCACGTATCACAGAACCAGCAAATTAGTCATTTCCCCAGCCTTCTCTTACACAGACAAACTGACTCTTCTAATAAGATTTTTTTTTTTTTTTTTTCCCCCCCCCCCCGTGGACATTTGTGTACCTTAGAAGCTTACTTCTTTGCTAATCTCCTCCTGCTTTTTCATACCAGGAGGTCACATGCTTCTGCTGGTAGCACAATTTTAAATCACACAGCAGCTTGCCCTTTGAGGTCTGAACTGAAATCGCTTTCTTAGATCACAAGTAAGTATGAGTTAATGGCTTCACAGCCAGTGTCACCACCACCACCCCCCCCCCTTATGCATATTGCAAAATCCGAGAAGAACTGAGTGCAGGTATCGCTTCCCAGTGGAAGGGACCTTGGCAGTCACAGTCAGGGCTGAGAGGGGGCTGCGTGGAGGAGCTCAGGCAAAGAGACAGAGCCTCCCTGCTTCCGAGACGTGGGACACTGCAGCTGCCCTGCTGTGAACCGGTGAGAGCCGCACACGCCGTCGGTGCTGGAGGCCGTGCACTGCACGTGGGTGGCAGAGAGAAGGAGTTACGTGGCCCGAGACGTTTTAGGAGACCCACGGGTCAGGGCTACACCAGTCCCCGAGGTACGCTGGCAGCACAGCGCGGGGCGGGACGAGTACAGCAATCCAGCAGCTTTGGATTTCATAACAGCGATGACGCGCAAAGCAATGTCACAGAACACGCCGGTGCGTACGCTGCTCCTCCGAGAGGGCGAATAAAGAAAATGGGGGGAAAAAGCAACAGCTTTCACGCGTCCCCTCTCAGGTGGGAATGTGACACCTGCAGCTGGCTGATGCTCTCTCCTCAAAGCCGATGGCTCCTTCTTCCAGCGTCTCGAGGTTATCCTTGACAGCTTACACTCAAAAGTTTGCCAAGGTATCTTTTTCCCTGACAAAATGAGCTATTCTGTCACACAAGGCTGGGCTGCAGGGCTTTTAAAAAACAGGTCTGCTGATGTTCAAAGGGAGCAGCTTGCTGTGCAGAGGAGTGGTGGAGTTAATAGTAGTAGGATCAGCACAAGCCATCTGCCTTCAGCTCAGCCAGGCCTTCTGCTGAACAGCCACCACGGGCTGCGGCCACTGGAGTGAGCAGCAACTCAATGACATGAAAGACTGCCTAGGTTAGTTGATTAAGAACGAGATTAAGAGCTCAGGAATCCTGTATGGCGCTGGTACTGACTCAGTCCAGGGATTTCACGGGAATATTTAAGCCTGGCTTCCCAAAGCGCTCTTTCATTTTGCACGGGTGGGTGTTTTTGAGCGCCAGCTTAAACCAGCCCCATGAACCGATGATCCCAGAAACAGGGGGTCATCTCTGAAACTGCTACGCTTTCTTCTTTGGTTGCCCCCGGTAGAAAGTAGGGATAAATAATGCTTAACTACCTCATTCCCCCGTAATGCTTAACTCCTTCACATTTATAAAGCTCTGCAGGAAACACAGGAAAGCCCTCTGGAATGGACAGGGATGTCCCTCACAACCACAGGTCACAGATCCCTCTTGTTTCCCTTGTGGACTTCTTTTAAGCACTGGTTTAAAATGCCTGCAGACCCCAGCAGAGACTGCTTGGCTCTGGTCCTGCACATCCAGACCATCCAGACTGACAGCTGCCTCAAGAGCTTTCCCTCTTTTTTTTTTTTTTTTCTTTTTTTTTTTTTAATAGTAGAAGAGTCACTTAAGGCTTGCAGATGACCTCAAAGTACCAAACTGCTGACCTGCCACCAAACTCTGAGCCTGCCCCTGCAACCACGAAGAGCAGGGCTCGGTCCCCTTGAGGGATGGTGATGGCAAAGCAGCTTTGTAGACCCATAACAGAATGATGAGGTCCGCTCTGACCTGCAGTGATATCCTACAGCAATGTAAAGGACCACTGAGGCTGATCTCCAAACCCAGGAGGAGACAGGCGGAGGGAGCAGCGGAAGGGTGCTGGTCTGGAAGGGGGCCAGGGGAGCTGGGATGAGTGAGGGCACAACCAGCCTGCTCCGAAAGTGAAAGGAACGGAGAGACTGCTCCTTCCACAGAGGGAGGAAGGGAAAAAGACGGATGAGCAAAAAGCCTGGACTTCATAATGAAAAACAATAGCTCATCATTTATTTTCATATCCCCACGCTAATGCTGGAATAATGCTAACAGTGGAATTCTTATGGCATGCATGTCATGCCTGCAAATACCAAGTGAATTACTTCTCAGCTAGGCTATGGGCTATGGCACTGAGCAGCACATTCGTTACAAGCGATTGGATGATGAACAACAGTTCCCAAATTCCTCCTTCACAATACTACTTGCATTAGTTGTAATTTAATGAGAGAGAGAGAGAGAAAGTTTTGGCTCAAACCCCTGAAATAATACTGCCTGCCACTGCTTCCCACTGGGTCTCGTATTAACTCACACCACCACCACCTCCACCTCCTCCTCCTCCACCTCCTTCCTTTTCACACCTATCCTCAGGTGCTGAAAGTGGTGTCGTGAAACCCATCGGCATGGCAAGAGGGCATGGCAGGAAGCCCCCCCAAGCACATGCCTGCCTTCTGGCTGAAAGGCAGGAGCGGACACAAACCTCTCCCCCCTCCTCTGCCGAAGCAACGGGAGGGCTGCGCGGGGGGCTCTGCCACCAGCTAGTCTCGGCGTGGACAAGCCTCCAACTCTTCTTTAGTTTCTTCCTCCCAGGGAGCCGGTGCAGGCGAAAGACACTGAATTGGCAGCTCTGGAAACCGAGCACCAAGCACAGCCAGCACGACCCGTGTCGGTGCTGAGCTCCCACCACGCACCCTCGCCGGCACGGCCCTCCTGCCTCCCGGCGGGAGCCACAGCAGGGCAGCCCGGCCCCAGCCCTGCCTCACAGGCTGTCTTAGCTGGGTTCGTCACTCTTTGTAACGATTTTGAGATCTGGTAAGCAGCCGGTAAAGGGGAACGAAAACCTTTGCTACGGGTAAGGCCTTCGAGGGCACAAACGTGCCGCTGAGCCCCAGCGAACCTGGGCATCGCTCCTCCTCGTGAGCAGCTCCGGTAGGTCGGTACCCCCCGTGCCTCCAGGGCAGGAACCAAGCCCCTCTTCTCCGCCCCACAGACCCCGCCACAAAAGGGATGGCCCCTTCAGAGAGACGGGGGGCGTCCGGCAGGCTGCTGCCCCGAAAGGAGCCTAACCGGCCAGCACTGCCTCCCACCCCTGCAGCAAACTTGCCACCGAGCCCACCCCCCTTCAGACGGCAGGACATCCATCCACCAGATGACCCTACACATAAGGTTCAGGCCTGAAACACGACCCGGTGTGTGGGGTCTCATATGTTGAGCCAGAAGAAAGCTGAGAGGTCTGATCTGAGCAGCAGGCCTACAAGTAAGAGGCTGCAAATATCATTACTGCTCTCCTGGTGTATCCAGTCTCTTTAGTGTTCCCCACTGACAGCGTGTAAATGACAAACATCCACGGATTCCTACCCCATGGAGCATCCAGAATCCTCTTCGCCCACTCTGCGCCAAATGTAATTTGAAAGCCCCCCGCTCCCAGCCACATTTTGTGGTGTTTTGAAAAAACTAATCCAAACTAAATTCACATGTTTCTGAAACGAAGGTATAGGCAGGGGAAGGCAGAACGACCTCAGGATTGGAACCAAATGCATTTGTGCAAATGAGACCTAGGATTTAGAGTTACCTTCCAGCCTCCTGCACGTGCTACAGTCTTAGCTTTGGCTTAAAAACCATCTGTTTCCTTGTAAAGGTTGACAAACACCAGTGATCTTTTCTCCGGTGTACTGGCTTAAGTCCCACAGACCTGACTGGGGGAGGAAGGTGGGCAGGATGCCGCAGGATGCTCCCAGGGACCCCCACAGACATGACCCTGCATGGGCACATAGGCACACGTGTGTGCTTCCCATCAATACAGCAGGCATGACACTGGGGGGACCATCTTCAGAAGCTATCTGGGCCTGCCCCTCGCCAAAATCCCCCCTCCCAAGCCCAGGGGTGGCATCGCACGCTCCGTGGCTTTCCTAAAGCTCTGGGTATGTTTTAGGCAGCGGTGGGGCTCTGAAATAAATGAAAGCATCCGACGCGGAAGTGACCCCAAGCGGAGGCAGTAACAGTCGTTACAAATAAATAAATGAGGATCACAGTCACCGATGAGAAGGAAGAAGTGGGGAGCCTCAGCCTGCTGCGACTACCTGTGTGCTGGGCAGCTCACCCGCCCCAGCAGTGCAGGGAGCCCCGCGCCCCTCCCGGGGGGCACCAGCTGAAAGGGGTCCCCCGCGCAGAGAGCAGGCACGGCAAGGAGGGGGACAGGGGCATGAGGAGGAGGTGGGGGGCTCCCCCCGAACGGGGGCCCAGCACAGCGGCTTCGTGGCCTTCAGGAGCCCGGCACAGGGCGGGCGGTACCCGCGGCCAGCCGCACGCTGAGCCGGCCGCCTGCAAAAACCAGCAGTGGCCAGGCTGGGGAGAGGGGCAGCGGTTGTCAGGGCAGAACTACAGGGGTGAACATACGTAACCGGGCGGATGGAGACCAGCTGGGCTGCGGTCAGAATGGGCCTGTGACTGCAGCAGCTTCTTCGAGCATCCAGTGAAAACCACAGAGGTCAGAACCACCAGCCACGATTAATCACATTTACGGTTTAAAACCCGGCCAAATCCAACGCTTCTGTTGAGACCAAGAAGTTCAGCTGGAGGTTTCTGACCCTGCTGGGATGGCAGAGGCTGTCCGGCCCTTCGGTCCCCCTCCTGACAGGCTGTCACAATTCAGGAAGGGTGAAGTTCAGCCACAGCACCTCAGTTCCCTTTAAGCCTTCAAATTCGAGCTTACACGGGGCTCAAGTGCAGCCCGTCCCAACGCAGGGTTGGATTTCACAGCTCTCGTGTGCTGCCGGTTGCCGCCTCCAACCAAAAAGGGGCGAAGCACCCCGCAGGCTGGCTGGCTGGCAGCCCACCCACCCCGACACCCCGAGCAGGGGATGGGAAGCGCCTGCAGCCCTCCCCAGGTCCCCGACGGGCAAGGCAGGAGGGCTGAGACCACCAGGAAAGGCTTCTGCTTCCCTTGCCTCGGTTAGCCAAATAAGTCCCAGTATCTGCCTCTTCCCAATACCTGCCTAGCCACGGGGTGCTTTACCTATGCAACCGCGCCTGCGCTCTTCCTCCCCCACGTGCCTGCTGGCCCCCCAAGTCTCACCCCGAGCCCCACGGTGACCACAGAGTCCCCGCTCTCGCTGGCCCACGGGCTGGGACGTTTGACACGTGGCATTCAGCTCCGGTGGGAAGTCGGCGTGTTCTTGGTATGTGGCACACCATGTCCTCAGCCATGGGCACCGCGGGTCATCGTCAACCGAGCACACCCAAACTGACAGGGCTGTGCTGGGGAGGGGGTGGCAGGGGGGGAAGAGGCTGCTGGGGATGGGAGAAAGGACACAAAATACACAAGCTGAGTAAAAGCTCCATCCACTTCACAAGCCCTTCAATAACGAGAGAGCAAGATGGACAAGGAGCACCAACCGCAATGAAACCCAAACGAAAAACCGTGACCTGCAACCTGCCCCAGCGATAGCAAGTAACACAAGCACGTTTCCGAGCTCACCCCCGGTGTGGCCACCAGCATCTGTTTTACTGCACCCGGTATCAAAAGCATTGGGCATCCCCATCCGAAATCCTGCCCTACCCCGCCATTCAGTCACATCCCATCTTCTTCCCTCACACATTATTTTCTACAGGCAGCGACTTTTTGGCAGGAGACTCAGAGTCTATTTGCGACAGAGCATGGCAGGGGAAAGCAGACATCTCCTTGTAAAGCATCCTCTTCCTGAAACCCCTTCAACCCTTCCTGGCTGAGAGGAAACGCAGGGATGGATAATGACTCAAGCGCTCCCCTGGGAAACAGGGATGATTTTGGAGGAACACAAAATAACTTTTAAGCCAAGCCCGGTCCTAAAGAGGGGAACTCCACAGTCTGTAGCTCTAGTTCACAGTTGAGCAAGAACAAAACCATTGCTCAGGCACCTACCCATGGGCTGCTTTACAGAGGTGGTCTCACCTACATCAGATACGTTGTGAATGAGATGGTAAACACATCTAAAGGAATACAGATTCCCCAGGAGATACTGCACTCGCATACAGACACCAGCTACATCACAGGACCAGGTCAAGACTGAAACAACGGAGGATACAGGAGGACAGACCTGAGACACATTAGCAGAGCTGCAGAGATCCCCAAGAACCGGACCAGCAGGGCCACCAAAACCTGGAACTGGGAGGGATGTGTAAAAGACACCTGACATGCAGCTGATCTGGGTCAGGATGGAGATGAGCTGGTAGATACGGATTACAGATCACTCGCAGTCAGAATGCCTTGGATGGTATTTTTCTCAAGCCTGGATTTCTAGTAACCCTTTTGTTCAGGTTGAAGAGAGCCACATTGCTTCAAAAAAATCTCTCCCTGCCTTTTACAGGCAGAGTGGCAGTGTCCCCTCCTGAACACCCTGTGATTTACAGCCCTCCACGCTCACACGGGCGACACAAGCCCTTACGCAGAGACTGCAGACAGTGCTCCTGCCAACACACATGCTGCCACAGCATTGCTCCACATAAACACCCTGCATTCACCTTGTTTATATTTCCTCCTGCACAGGCTGCGACAGCTCACAAACACACAGAAAGCCTAATTTATATTTATAATAAATCTCCCCTCTTCATTCCCCGCAGTGGAAAAGAGCCCTGGTACAAATGCAATTTGCTGAGAGAACGGAGTATTAATAGGTCCAAGGAGAATCAGGCCCACGTTGTCTTCTGTAGACAAAGGGGATGAAGCCACACACAAACACATGTGCACGCTCCTACACATGTCTGTAAACATGGAAAGAGCCGCACACACACATACATACACACGTAATACTCTTCCACCCGTATTCTCACACCCACGGCTCAATGACAGCATCTACCGTCCCTTCTGACTCGCACGTGCTTTCAGGCAGCCCAGGCATTTGGAAGGTGCACTTTCATTATCCAGGTGCTCACAGCCTCAGATAAGCGACGAGAAAATGACACTGCAAGAGAAGTATTGTCACCATCAATGGGATATGCTCGTGTCTGGGTTTCACATGTCCTTGTCAGGTTGTGCAGCTACATTTAAAATGGGGTTTGCAACATGTTTCTTATCCCCACTTTCTAAATACATACACATTCTGATGTTGAGAGAATGCAGAGAGGGAGTTCGATGGGAAGGCACGTCGATAGCACGAGAAGAGACGAAAGAATTTATAATCGTGCTCATGACTAAATGTGATCCCCACTTGCTTTGTAGGAGCTATGAGGTCTTAGGTTTCTCCACGGTGTTCACAAACTGGCTGCAGCCAAGAGTTGTCCTTTTGTTTTAATCTGGCTTCGGAGA